TTTGTTTGCATTTTTTTTATACTGAAAAAAAAATTTTATCTATCTTGTGACGATAAATATTGTCAGCGGCAATTTTAATAGTGACAATTTATGCTAGTGGCGATTATCCCAGACAATAATGAGTATTGAAATTATCATCTTTGCTGGTAATCACTAAAAATATGTAATAGTATACATAATTATTACCATAAATTTCTAAGCGTGCATGAAAGCTAACTCATCGACTTACGGAAATAAATTTACGGTAGAATGGTTCTAGATGAGGAAAATCACGAACCAATCTTTTGTACTGTTGCGCAATAAAATCAATGTCAAATTTTAGAAGATGATTCATATGATAGGAAGAAATAATTGATAAAATTCTAAAAATTTTTTTTTATTAAAAAAACAATTTGAAGCAACAAAAAAAAATTCTTGTATTAAGAAAATTGTAATTGCTACGCGAAAGATGTCTTTAAAAATTTTTGTAGACAGAGACTCGATTGACTCCTTTGGAAAGTCGTAGTATAATAAGAAATTGTGTTATAATAAAATACTAGTTCATATCACAAATGGTTTTGTTCTTTCTAATATAGAAGCTGTTATGTTGTTAAATAAATTTTAAAACTAATCGAATAAAAATGATTCATCATAAAATATAATAAAGAAAAAATTTTTTTTTTTTACTATTTATTAGACAACAGTCAGATCCAAAAAAATGACAATCATTATTGATTTCAGTGGATATTATTACAAAGATGATGATTTCTTCATAAAAGAATACTGCGAATCTTATCTTCAAGAAAATTCTAAAAAAAAACGAGTGAGTGCTGCGATAGTACCAGCAACACCAATCAAACACCTAACGGATATAAACTTTATTGATAACATTTATAGCATCTACTTAAAAAAATATGGAATACCATTAGAATGTACTACACATACAATTGAAGAACTAAAAGAAAGAATATTGACCATGTTGTCAAACAGTGAAGTAGTTTTCGTTAGGAATAAAAAACAACGCCGAGATTTGTTCAATTTTATAAAAACTCAGCCAGACCATGTTAGATCATTGGAAAATTTTAACTTTGACGTCAGTTCAGAAAAAATGAATCGATGTTGTGTGCATCACATAAAAAAGCAAGGTTTTTATTGCGCTAGAATTAATGTTCAATACATGAGTAACTTACTGCTGTATAAATATCATGGTGATAGCAAGCCAGATCAAACTATATCTTACCCAAGAATATCGACAAGCAAAAAATCAAAATTTGAAGAAACCGAGCCAGTTACAAAAACTGTTGATAAAAATCGAAATCACGCGGCGATAAATTTCAATGGTTATATTAATTTGAGACGTACTAATTTAATTGTTAAAGAATTCAGTATTTATGTGTTCAATGACCAAGGAGTCAAAATATATCATCAATTACTAGTCGTTAAACCGCCTCACTATCGGACAAAACTCAAAGCAATGATAGATTATTACGAATTTCACTTCTATAATACTTACGGAATAGAGTGGGAAGCCGGTAATTGTATACCAAATGATGTACAAATTGTATTAAGTACTCTTGTTAAAAGATATGAAGTGAAGTACATTTTCGTAAGTGGAGTTGACAAGAAACAGTATTTGCTCAATAAATTTATCTTCAATCACGAAAACATCATTTGTCTATCTGAATATGGTTGCGATCTTGCACAAGAAATCAGTGCGTTGCCTGAATCTAAGTGCAAATATCATTCACATCCCAACCCTCGTAAGAACGTCTGTGCTGATGATTCTAACAAGATTATACTGCAGTGGATACTAGCAAGCAAGTTGTACAAAGAAGAAGTCTTAAATTCGGCTAAAAATTTCCATAACTTATCACTAACTCAACTTGGCACCAAAAGTACAAATAAACCTGCTGCTAAAAAGGCAAGTAGTCTTCAATCAAAGATTGCCATTAAAAAAATTTCGATCCTGGGTCCAAAACCTGGATCCACAAATGTTATTTATAAGCCGACGTATTATTCAGAAGACACTTCGGCTAACGATCAACCAAGTACATCGTGGGGCAATCAAAGTAAGCAAGTGAGAGTTCAACGTGGCAGAGATTTAGAAATATTAGGTGATATTAATGTTGATGCATCATTGGATCCAACGGGTAATGACAATGACAATGTGATCATTGATTTTGATAATTCTGATAGCAATCATAATTTGATTAATACAATAACTGTTTATACTGTTGATCCTCCGGTACACAGTTCTGTTAATAATAAAGAAGTTATTGAAAGTGCTTTAGAAGTTAATGATGAAGTTTTAGATCCATCATTTTACATTGAAAATTTTGATATTTCTTGGTTGGAGAACAAATTTGAGCCGATTGATCTTGATGATGTTTTAAGTGGTGATTGGTCAAATGAACAGACCAGTAATAGCGATCACAAATTAGAACTACGCGATAGCGATAGTGATTTGTTTGAAAAACTTTTACAATCCGATAGTACTGAGCAGTCGAATGACGCGATGTTAGATTCACATTACGAAGAATTAGAACGATTTTTACTATGAGAATTATTATGATATTTCTGTATTGTTTTGGAATTGTTGAATTTTACTGATATTTTGAATTTTTAATTGACATAGAAACATTTTTTTTTCTTTTTAATATTTATTAGATAAGACTATAAGCGAAAATGACGATCGTGATAGATTTCAGCGGTTATTATTATCAAAATCAATTTATAATTAAAGAATACTATAAATGCCGTCTTTTTCCATATATTGTAACGCTCAATAAGACAATTATCACTGAGCCACCACCGATCATCTCCAATGGTTTATTTCCTAATCGTGGTTATTCAAAATATTACACAGTTTGTGGAATAAATCCAGAAGTTGGTAATTATAAAATTTATCAATTGCGGAGTAACATAAAAAGGACATTGGAAACTTTTGAGACAGCTTAGTTTATGTGAAAAATGAAGAACAGAACAAGCTAAAGTTCATTAATATAATATTTATGGATAAATTGGAATTCGACGAAAGTCGTGAAATAAAAAAAGCGAGCTTGTGAATACCACGATGATAAGGCTAACAATTATTGCGCTAGTGTTACTGTTGAGTGCATGGGAAAATGGCTGTTTATGCGAAGAAAAAATAATCATTCTTACGAGCCAACAGTTAGTAGAAAACAATTGGTATTTCTTTTTAACCGAAATGTTAATTTTTAATCGGAGAAATCACTTGGTGGTAAATTTTAACGACAATTTTAATTCTAAAATAAAATATTTCGTTAAAGAAATGAGTATTTATGTGTTGAATACTGATGGAGTAGTAGTTGATGGTCAGTTTTTTGTTAGTCAGCCGCCTGATTCGTCCAAAAATTTACACACAGTTGTCAATGAACACAATAATAAAAAAATTTGGAGCACTGACAATTGTTCCGTAAAGGACAATTCAATCTAAAATAAAATTATTGTTCATTTTATACACTATAAAGTATATTTTCGTTGAAAATTTACCCATGAAACGTAAATTAGTGAAAATACTTGAGGATGATAGTATAGTGATGATATTATTTGCTTATCCGATTATGGTTACAATTATCAAGATGAGCGGAAAGTATCACCTGCGGAAAAATGCGGGTATCACAACTATCCAAATTCCAAAAATAGTGAATGCGCTGAGAGCGCTAATAGAGTAATGTTGCATTGGATGTTAAAAATGCAATTGTACAAGCAGGAAATTGTGGAATCAGCTAAAAATTTTAAAAAAATCCCGTTGACTGAACACGATAATATTCTTAGCGAAAAAGTACTGATGGCGTTAATATCAATGTTCAATTGCGGCCAATTGATAATAATTCCAACGAAATTGACGATTTATTAAGTTATGTAGATGTAAATATTGATGAAATACTTGATCGATCTTCTACTAGTCAACATTCAAGTGGATCAATGAGTTTTACCGATAATAAATTGCAGCCGGGTGATACACTTTGGCGCACAGTTCTGTAAATAATCAATATAAGAAATTCATGATAGTGATTTCGAAATCGATGATGTGATACGAAGTTTTAGATACATTTGACATTAAAAATTTTGATAGATCTTGGCTGGAGAACAAATTTGAGCCGATTGATCTTGATGATGTTTTGAGTGATGATTGGTCAAATAAACAGACCAGTAACAGCGATCTCAAATCAGAACTAAGCGATAGCGATAGCAATTTGTTTGAAAAACTTTTACGATCCGATAATAATAACAACCAGTCGAATGACGCGATGTTAGATTCACAATACGAAGAATTGGAAGATTTTTTGCTATGAGAATTATTATTATATTTCTGTATTATTTTGGAATTGCTAAATTTTATTGATATTTTTTATTTTTAATTGACATAGAAACATTTCTTTTTTAATAAAACAATAAATTAATTATTTTCTGATAAATTTTTTTTTAAATTATTGTCATTTCTGAATTTTTTGGAAATAGTATTTTATGATATTAAGCAAATAATAAAAATTTAAATACTCACAAATCATTATGAACAATATTTCATAATAATACAGTCTGAATAATTTGACATTAATTTATTCAAAAATGTAACTATACTTCTCTGTAATTATCAACTCAATACCTATAGGCATATACACACAGAATATATAATGTATTATGTGTGTATATATAATGTATATATACACACACAAAAAAAATTGATTTGATAATAAAGAATAATTTCTTTGAAATAAATTTCTTCAAAGGTTCATGATTCATGATTAATGTTTAATTTTTATAAGTATAATAAACAATTATTAAAAAAAAAAATAATTTAACAAAATAATTCAACAATCAAAGCTTGTCATTACATTTAACACCCGCCTCAGTAAAATTATAGATAAAAAAAAATTTTTACGACGATAACTTGAAAAAAAAAAAAAATATTTTGTTAACTATCTAATAGTTCAGTTATATAATTACAGTTGAATAAAATTAATTACAAAATAATTGTACAATAATTAATTTAATTTCTATCGATATAAGTTATCAGTGCCCGTAAATTCAATTTTACAGCAGCAACTTGCAGGCATTGAGAACCAATCTGTTTCGGCTTCACCGGTATCTGAAAGTGAGACTAATTTTTTGTACATAAATTTTTGCACACACATAGTCTTGTAACCCGCAGCAAAGCCATCAATTAATCGGCATGGAGTATCAGCATTTCTATAGAAAAAAAAAAAAAAAAAAAAAAAAATAATAATAATAATTATAATAATTAGTTTATAAAATAATTCATCTATTGTTGTTGATTATTAAATATCAAATTTAATCAACTTACTCGCATGTTTCTACATTCATGCCTTGAACATATTCTTTGGTGTTGATAATAAATTTAGTTTCTCCATCTTTATTACGTGCTGCTCGTGGAATTATGTATTTTGACTAAAAAAAAAAAAAATTACAATTATTATTATTAATACTACAATTGTAGAATAGTTAGATTTATCAGTTGTAAGTGGTAAAAACTTACAACTCCTTTACAGAGACCATCACTTTCATCATTACCAAATTTTGGCTTTGGATCCAGAGGCTGAAAAATATACAATTAAAATTTAAGAGAAATTGTATATTGTAAGTTAATTAAAAATTTTTAGAACAATTTTGAAAAGTAAAAAACTAATATTGTGATAAAATAAGAGTCAGGAGTAAAATCCTTGATAGTTAAAAAACATAATAAATAAGAAATGAGTTTTGCTGAGACAAAAAAGCGTAAAAAAATGTTATTTTTGCCAATGGACAGAGAAAGATGGCCGTGGATTATTATGAAAGAAGAAATGAGAGGTATACTAAACGTTAGAGCAACAAAATGGAGTAAAGAAGTGAAAAAAATATTAGAAAAAAATGGGTTGTGAGGAAGTAGTCAGGATGATATTATACTTATATATAAAGAGCAGGAAATAGAAGAAATAGAAACAAAGCTGGACGAAGGGATAATGAGAATAAAAGAAGAAGCAAAAAAAAAAAGACGAGGAGGCGATAGAGAAATCATCATACTGCAAATTATATAAGAAAATAAAAATAGACAAAGATAAAAATTACTATTGGGGAAAAGATGAAATAAGTGGGGAAGATAAGGAAACATGGCCGAGGGTACGATGTGGGAACATAGGAAGAGGGGCAAAGAAAGGATTTAAGGATTGGAGATGCAGAGTATGTGAGGGGGAAGAAGAAACCCTGATGCATATAATGAAATGTGAAGAAATATATGAAAAAGTTGGAGAAGAAGGAAAGAGTTTTTTAAATGAATGGAAAAATTTAGAAAATCAAGAGGTTGAAGAAAGATTAATAGAAGTACTAAAGGGAAGAATAGACGGGAGAGCATGCACGGTCTTCAGAAAAATTGAAGAGATCCTAAGGGAAAAAACGGGATTGCGGAGTTTGGGGCAGGAGGGTCACCAGAACAACGACGTGCAAACAAGAGGAAAAAAGAAAAGAAAAGAAAAATAGAAAGATCAAATGGAAAGAGAAATAAGATATACAATTAACATACAATGACAATATATGTAAAAACTTTGTAAGAGACGAAAGTCGTGCAAATAAAACTATTTATTATTATTATTATTATTATTATGTTATTTTTGCCCTGATGGTTCCATGATTTTTGATCCCCCGACAAAATATCCCCCGACAAAATATCCCCGGACAAAATATGGTTTTTCTGATATAATAATTATAAATTATTGAAATTTATTATAATTATTAAATTATAAATTATAAATTTATAATTATTATTTCAGAAAAACCATATTTTGTCCGGGGATATTTTGTCGGGGGATATTTTGTCGGGAGATCAAAACGCCTGATACCTGCCCTGATAAACTCTGAAATGGAAGAAATATGAAAATTTAATAAAATTAAAAACAAAATTTATTTTAATTTACATCTTCTTAGTTTGAAGAAAGAAAAATTTCAAAGCAACCTCTAAAAAAAGTTGTACTTATGTATGATTTAATATATAATTTAAAAATTATTTATGATTTTTATACCTTGTCTTTAGTATTTAATAATTCTAAACTCTTCTTTGATCTTAGCGCTTTTTCAACAATCTCAATTGGATAATTGGGCACTTTTTCGCAAAATTCCTGTTCATTGCATTTCGGTAGCAGAGTCATACAAGAATTGTCATTTTTTTCGTCTTTGTAGTGAAATATTTTTTTCGATCCATCCAGGTCTGATGCCACTGATTCATTTTTTGATCCTTAAAATGCAAATATTAGTTTAAAAAAATAAATGGTATTTTTTAGTGTTTTATGTTAGTTAAAAAATTATTGGTTCACCTTTAAAAGTGACATTTTCATCAAGTTTTAATTGAGTTTGAAAACTATTTATTAATTTTGTCACCTAAAAAATTTTTAATTATTTATAAAAAAATATTTTTCTGAGTATTTTCTTAGTCGTAATTTGAAAAATCCAAAAAATTAGATGTCTTCCTATTTAATAAGAATATTTTTATTTAATTAGTATTATTATTTTTTTTCAAATTGACTTTTATATGAAAACTGAGTTTATAAAGTAATATATAATTATTTTTTGACAATCATTTGTTATTTTTCTAAGTAAAAAAAAATGTCAAACATTTAATTAATCCAAAAAATCATAAAATTTTTTAATAAAAAAGAAATAAGTGAATATGCGTGCGCACGTAAAATTTTAACTTGCGTTAATTTTTAAAGCATTAACTGAAAAATTACCTACCTCAAGTACACAGAAAACAATTAATAACACCCGTAGCACCATAATTATAAATTTATAATTATCTTTATAAATAAAATAAAATAAATTATATAAATAACACAAAAAATGATGTTTATCTTTTTAATATTTTAAATATCCAAACAATATTTAATGGATGCATCGATAACTCAGCCTATAATTCATGTTAACGGTACACAAGTTACAATCCGTATGGAGACAAAAAATTAACGAAAACTGATGCTAAATATATTTGCATCAGGTAGTACACCTTATACCTCAGTAGAATATATACTTATTTTAAAATTAACAATAGTATTTAAGCTTCAAGGTAATGACAGTTGCTATTTACTTAAGTACGTCACGGAAGAAAACTATCTCCATCTCTCTCTTTCCTTTTTCTTTGTGTTTTTGTCCCTTGCTTCCAGAATGACGGACAAAAGTTAAGCCGATAGTTTATTATTTTTATCTTCTTCAAGTACAGTTTCCATTACACCTTACTGTTTATTGAATATTTAAGATTTTTAAATTTCTGATACTATCCTTGTCTTTTTTTCTACTCACACTCATTGAACCGTAATATACATCTTCAATGCACTTTCTACATCAAGTAGAAACTTATAAACAATATTTTTTGTTTTTCAAGTTTTTTTTTTGGAAATTTAAGAAGAAAATTTATGAAAGTGCAATATGAGTTTATTTATAATCATGTTCAAAATATATTTTTTTGTTTCTTGAAATTTTAATGTGACAAAATGCCCGCGCACATGATAAAGAAAAATTTTTTTTTCTACACTTGGCAAATTATTGTAGATAATTTTTTCAAGTATTTAAAACCACTTTTAAATTTTCAAACTTGATTGCTATTTAAGCAAAATTTTGTCTTGAAATCACTCAAAATTATTTTCTTACATAGATTTATTAATACCTGGCTCGAATCTTAGTACCTCCAACAGATAAAAAAAGCCAAGGATAATTTTAAATTTCGCGCCATTAGAGGCGCTAAAACTCGAGTTTAAAAGTATAGACTGAAGAAAATGAATTCTTATAAATTTATTAACTTCTTAGAAAAATGCTTAACCAGCTAATATAAATTTTCCGTAATACTGACTAGTATATTTTCTTAAACCTGATTTTGATCAATTCTTGATTTTGACGGATTCAGAAAAATAAAATCTATTCTAGTAAAATCTAGAATAAATTTTTTTAAGCTCAAATTATCCACTATTAACAATTAAATTGTAATAACTTTAAGATCATTTGAAATAAATTATTAATTTATAAAAACTTGATTTTTTAAAAAATGATTCGAGTTAAAAAATTCAAAATTACTAATTTAAAAATAAATATTCCGAAAAACAATATATGAAATACTTATCTTAAAAATTTTTAGTTATATTAATAAAAATAATTATTAAAATTAAAACAAAGATTAAACTCAGCTCTTATCTTTATTAAACTTTCTAGTCTCAAATATAAATAATAATTAAAACAAATTAAAAAACATAAATTCACCTAATCTATAAGAAATTATATTTCCAACTGACTCTATCGGTTTAAAAAGTAAACTAAATCCAGAAAAAGGAGACAGACAAGGAGAAAAACAGTAGACAAAAGTTAATGATAAATGTCATGTATTTCCATCGAGGATTTAAAAAAAAAAGAGATTTTATAATGCCAAGTAATATATCATCAGTTGTTGATAAAGCAAAGGAATGTTTCACAGCGTAATTACAACAATACAAAATGAAAAATAATAATAATAATAATAATAATAATAATAATAATAATAATAATAACACGACAGATGAAAAACGATATTAAATATAAACAAGGTCTCGATGGTCTTAAATATATTACTTCAGCTGAAGAACATCAATCAGTATTTAATTTTATTTATCCCATAAGGACGTCTAGTACTCTTCAGCTCCCTCGCCTTCACCTTCAGCAGAGTCCATGCCGACCTCTTCGTAGTCTTTCTCAAGAGCAGCCAAATCTTCACGAGCCTCAGAGAACTCACCTTCCTCCATACCTTCACCAACGTACCAGTGTACGAAGGCACGTTTCGCGTACATAAGGTCAAACTTGTGGTCAAGACGAGCCCAGGCCTCGGCGATGGCTGTCGTGTTGGACAACATACAGACAGCACGTTGTACTTTGGCGAGATCTCCACCAGGTACGACAGTCGGTGGCTGGTAGTTGATACCAACTTTGAAACCAGTTGGACACCAATCGACGAACTGGATGGTACGTTTGGTCTTGATGGTAGCGATGGCGGCGTTTACGTCCTTGGGGACGACGTCACCTCGGTACAACATGCAGCAAGCCATGTATTTTCCGTGACGCGGGTCGCATTTCACCATCTGGTTGGCGGGCTCGAAGCAGGCGTTGGTGATTTCAGCGACAGAGAGCTGCTCGTGGTAGGCCTTCTCCGCGGAAATAACTGGGGCGTAGGTCACCAGAGGGAAGTGAATACGTGGGTAAGGTACCAAATTTGTCTGGAACTCAGTCAAGTCGACGTTGAGGGCTCCGTCGAATCTCAAGGAGGCTGTGATCGAGGATACAATCTGTCCGATAAGTCTGTTCAGGTTGGTGTAGGTCGGTCTCTCGATGTCCAAATTGCGGCGGCAAATGTCGTAGATAGCCTCGTTGTCAACCATGAAGGCACAGTCGGAGTGCTCGAGGGTCGTGTGGGTGGTCAGGATCGAGTTGTAAGGCTCGACAACGGCTGTTGATACCTGGGGGGCTGGGTAGATTGCGAACTCCAGCTTTGACTTCTTACCGTAGTCGACTGAAAGACGCTCCATCAGGAGGGACGTGAATCCGGATCCGGTACCACCGCCGAACGAGTGGAATATTAAGAATCCTTGAAGTCCGGTACATTGGTCTGCGAGCTTGCGAATTCGGTCGAGGACTAGATCTACTATTTCTTTTCCGATCGTGTAGTGACCGCGGGCGTAGTTGTTCGCTGCGTCCTCTTTTCCGGTGATCAGCTGTTCTGGGTGGAACAATTGACGGTATGTTCCGCTTCGAACCTCATCTGTAAAATTTTTATTGTTAGCATTTTATTTCGATGGGATTTATTTCAAGTATTTTTTTAATTTTATTATTTTCAAGGGTGAATAATTATAATACTGAAGAAGTTAGCTGACATTTTTAATTTTTTTTTTTTCTCTTATTAAATTAGGGGTAAAAAATATTTTTTTTTTTAAGTTGCACTGATGATTTTTAAAGTTTTTTTAATTTTTAGATGTCAGTTAACTTAATTTTCATTAATAATTTCATTAAAAATTTTTATATCAAATTATTATGAAAAAAATTTAACATGTAGAATTTAAATAAAAATTATTAGTGTTAGAAAAATTTAAACAATTGTAAGATTTCAGTATCAAATCATTATAAGTTTTTATATTACTCAAGATGTAAATATTTTAATTATTTATTCATTATATTAATAGTGTTTATGAATTAAATTTAGAATCATTTTTATCGATGTTGAAAACTTGTTAATCTAAATATTTAATTTAATAAACACGAAAGAATTTTTAAATAACTATCACATTATATTAAGTATCATTAATTAATGTTTGTACTCACAAAAAGAATTTTAATTGAATTAATTATCAATCAATTTTTGTCAAAAAAAAAATATTTTAGTTACTAGGAGGAATATTTATTTTCAAAGTTTAAGTAAAAATTTTTTTTTAATGAAAATTTAAATCTAATTATTTAATAATTTCCTAAAATTTTATCGAAGGACTTTATTTTGAAGATTTAAATTATTTTAATGATTATCTAAAGAGACTTTTCTAATCCCTGAAAATAATTCTTCTAAGCCAGTGTACTATAAATTATTCAAAATATAGTATAATATATATACATATCATCTTGTCTTCATAATTAATGATTCATTTTTATGAATAAAAATTTTTTAAAAATTATTACAAAACCTAGAGCTCTAAATTCGAATTTAGTGATTAAGAATATTGAGCTATCAATACAAACTTATTTTTCAATCTAATTAATTCTTATCAAATTTTTTTGATTACCTACTTCTAAAAAATAAACGATCAATAAAATTTATACCATTAAATAAGCGTACTAAAAAATTTTTATCATTGAAAATAATACTAAAATTAGAAAAAGTGTAATTTTTTAATAAAATTTTCACAAAAATACATTTTTTTACCAGAAAACTTTGAATTTTTTTTATACAATAAATTTCTAAAGAGAAAAAAAAATATTGTAAATTATAGTATCAATAAATAAAATTGAAAGCCATGACCTCAAAAAAAATCTTTATCAACTACTAATTACTCAAACTCTCATTATCACTCTTTATCTAATTTTACCTAGCGTAAATCACTATTAATCAATCAAAAGAATACCAGCGAGAAGAAAAAAAAAAAAAAAAAAAAAAAAACCGTTAGACTTTTTCTGGAAGTTTCTAATTATCCCATAAGAAAGAAAAGACTAGTACCAAAAATAACCGCTCAAACCATGGCTTCCCCCCACTCATTAATTTCCGTTACAACTCCAAGCTTTAAAAGAATTTCGATAGTTCCCCAAGTTAAGCACCTGGCTATTAACTCAATCCAAGATAATTATAAATAATGAATCCCTAAAATATATTAAAATAAAATAAAATAATCCTTACCGACTACAGTAGGCTCCAAGTCGATAAAAACAGCTCTGGGTACGTGTTTACCCGCACCGGTCTCACTGAAGAAAGTGTTAAAACTGTCATCACCTCCTCCAATTGTTTTATCGGAGGGCATTTGACCGTCCGGTTGGATTCCATGTTCAAGGCAGTACAATTCCCAGCAGGCATTACCGATCTGTACTCCGGCTTGTCCAACGTGGATTGAGATACACTCACGCTGCACAAAAAAAAACAATTATTAGTTTAAATAATACTCGCGATAAAATAAATAAAATAATTATAAAAATCACCAGCTTGTATTAAAACAATCAATACCGGAAAATGTACGCATTATAAAAAGTTCAAAATCAATAACGTGACTCAACCGGCGACCGTTACAAAATGGCGTCAAGCGACGCGATCATCCTTTGTCCGTAAAATAAAAATATCAATTCACAATCACTAACTTAATTACATTAAATAAAATTTATTAGTTATTAATTAATAATAATATTAGCATATATATTAAAAAAAGTGTCTAAGACTTACCATTTTGTCAAATTAGTTGATTATCGTAGAAAAAAAATATGAACGATAGCTTGTAGCTTGTTGGGCTGTGAGAGACTCTGAGAGATCTTTTTCGCTGAATTCAGTCGTACGACTACGCCGCGGCGTTGCTAGCCGGGGCTTTTATAGCCTCGGTACGAGGACCCGATTCTCGCTCCTGATTGGCCAACCGCGCCCAGCGCTCCATCTGCAATTGGTCGATTTTCAGCCGCAGTACCTCGTAACCGCTCAATTAAATATTACTACGCTGAAAAAAAATAGTCCAGTCTATAAATTGATCGAACCTTAAATATTTTATTTTTTATTTATTTGAAAATTCTATTTATTTATTTATTTTTTTTTTTTTTTTTTTTTTTACCAATTGCGCTTTTATTTGTGTACTAACAAATGATTTATTTATAAATAATTATTTAAATTTAAAAAAAATCATTTCCTATTTGGGACAGTGTTTTCTCCAGACATTCTAAAATCCATTTCCCCAGAGCCAAAAAAGGTCCTTATATTCTGTATCAATGACTTTAATATCTCGTTTGATTTATGGGCAATTGATGACTCAATTTTTTTTGTTAGGATCTACTTGTTTACTTCAAGAGTATTTGTTTTGCATATTTATTATTTTATTCGAGGTAATTATTTTGTAGCTATAGATGGCAATGAAATTAAGCTATGACAAAATCGATTACGATGTGTCATACCCGAAACAAAATAATAAATATTGTCTGGGTATTTTTAGATTCACCAATTTTTAAACAATTTTTCCTGTTTTGGTAATTTTTTTTTCTATTTATTTATTTATGTAGTTGATATCAGTCAAGAAAAGATAATTTAATCGCTGGGTTATTACTCATTACTCATGACATTAGTTAATGGCTTTACTCTTATTTATATTACAGGTGGAGAAATTAGGCATTTTGATAGCGGAGATGGAACAGCTGGTTACTGGTACTAGTTACTGGTCTGCTGGTTACTATGTTGGATATAGGTGTATATATTTGTATATCGGTGCGCAGGGTGTGGGTTTCGATGTAGGTATACGCGGTTTATGTCAAGTTGAAGTAAGTATTTTTGTGTGGGGATATACGTCCAAATGTAATGACACTAAGGATGTGCCATTGGCATTTGTAGGGCTAGGCGAATCAATATTTTACAATTTTTTTCTGTTTTTTTCGTCTACAGTTTTTTTGATTCTTTTTCATATTAAATTTCAATTTTTTTTTATTTTTAGTCTTGATTTTTTATTTCTTTTCTACCTAATTTTTAAATTATTGTCTTCTTCATTCTTTTTCATTTTTTAGTTTAATTTTTATGAAAATAAAGTTAGCTGACATTTCAAAATTTTTAGAAATTTTTTATTGAAAAAATTTTAATTAAAAAAAATATTTCACATGTAAAAAACTTAAAAAACTATAAGTGCAATTTTTAAAAATATCTTTTTAGTTGTAATTTAATTAATAAAAAAAAATCAAAAATTTTTAGACGTCTGCTAATTTCAGTATCATTAATTTTTTTTTCTAATTTTGAATGAACTTTTTTATTCTTTTAAAGTTTTTAAAAATTATTATCTTGATTTTAAATTAAAATTTTTTTTATTTTGAGTTTTCTTAATTTTTTTAGTCTTTCTAAGTTTTTAAATAATTGTCTTTTAAATACTTTTATTCTTTTTCCTTTTCATTAATAATTTTAATTTTTTGTCATTTATGAAATTTCATTGCTCATTTATTATAATTAAAAAATAAATTATTAATCAGCCTGTAATATATTCAGTTATTTTTTTTTTTTTTTTCATTAATTTATTTTAAATACTGTTTTTTAACCAAATCCTTCAAGTTGCATTTATTGATTAATTTATTTCTAGTTTCAGGCCAACATTTACAAGATTAATTATAATTTTTTAAGTAGTTTTTTAAATTAAAAGTAATTAATCTTTAAAAGATAAAGTTATATTAATTACTCCAGTATTATGATGCATTTTTTTCTTTACAAAAGTAATTTTTGTGATTGAATTTCGTCATTTTTTTTTTTAATCATAAAATATGAAATTTTATAAATTAATTTGTATAAATAAAGAAATTAATTAATTATTTTGTCTATTTAAAATAAAAAGTGAATGTTTGATATTTTCATTACCATTTTAATTTTGTGTATGTATATAAATTTTTATAAATTGAATAATTTATTCATTCAAACACCTACAAAAATAATAGTAATTAAGTAATATATTTATTAATATTGAATAATTTTTCATTCATCAAAAAAATTATTTTTTAAATTATGAAATTTAATTTTTGAGATAGAAATTGTTTTTAACAATTTAATATTTCACGGGATGATTCAGGCTAATAAAAAAAAAAAGTAATTTCAGATAAAGTGTCCTTATGTGAAAATCTTGATACCATTTTTAATTCAAGAAAGAGAGATTTTACTTGTTTCTTACAAGTATTACTCGAATCGATTTTGAAATGTATGATTCATGCCTTGTTATTATTATTCGTCTTGTTTTTACTTTTTTTCCCCCAAGAACAGACGTAAACAAACGACCCCTGGCGAACATTTATTTAATTAAAGATGCTTCGTAAATTTTCGTTTATTTCCGTAAGTGTGAAAGAAATATCTCAGTCTAACAGTAGAAAATTTTACAGGTTATGATTTAAAAAATATTACCACGTGTGTTTATGATATAATTTGCACTCAATAAAATTTTTATTTAATAGAAAAAATAACTCATTAATAATTTGTAAAATGGACATAGATAATGATAATGATAATGAAGTTAATACAGAAGAATCAAACGAGGATAAAATAAAAAGTTTTCATGAATTTGGTCTTGATGATAGAATATTAAAGGTATGACTTTTTTTTTTCACTTTAACCTTTATTATTTATGCAATTAAACATTTATTTTACTTAAAATCAAGTTTAAAAAGTTTACTTAAACATAATCCATAAATATAACAACGAAATTAGCAGACACTTTTTTGATTTTTTTTGAAAAATAAACACTCTAGAAAATTATTTCTAAAAAATTGCATTTATAATTTTTTATAGCTTCTAAAGATAGAATTTTATAAATAAATCATTCTTGCAGTAATTTATTTGTTTAAAAAAAAATGACATTAAAGTTAGCAGTCACTAGAGAATTTTTTAATTTTTTTTAACAAAGAAATTTGCTCCAAAAAATTATTTTAAAAAAATTGCATTTTTTATTTTTTTTTTTTTTTTTTCAAATTTCTACACGTCAATTTTTTTTTATATTGTTTTTTTACCATAATTTATTTGTTAAAAAAAATTATTAGATGTTTCTCAATTTCCCTATCATCCAGAAATTTTAATTTCATTAATATTCTAATATATATCAACGAGTAATCGTTTAATTATGAATTTACTTTAATTTATTACAATAATAATTTTTTTCAAACAATTGCAAAATAAATTAAGTATTTCGTCATTAAATTCAGTTTACTATCATTAAAATTTCAAAGATTAATTTACATTCAAAAATAACTTTTTTCAACCCTAACTTTAATTTCTTCAATTATTACCAACGACTTATAAAACTATTCTATAACTTCTCTAAAAAAAAAAAATTATCCTCCATAAATAATCCAATAAATGATTTTCCAGGCAATCGCAAAATTAGGTTGGCTTGAACCTACAGCAATCCAAGAATCAACAATCCCTCTTATGCTGGAAGGCAAAGACGTCTTGATCCGGGCACGTACCGGTTCCGGAAAAACTGCAGCCTTTACCATACCCTTGGTGCAAAAAATCCTGACCAGCAAGCCTCATCAAACTCACCAGCAAACAAAAGGTTTAATCCTGGCACCGTCCAAAGAACTCTGCAAGCAAATCCACCAGGTGTTAATCTCCCTCACACTAAAATGTTCCCGAGAAATCCGCTGCATCGACATTTCTCCCCAGCAAGAACTCTCCACCCAAAAGCCCTTGTTAGCCGAGAATCCGGACATCGTGATCGGAACTCCAGGGCGCGTATGCCAGCACCTAAAAGCCGGGAACCTCAAGCTAAAAAGCTGCCTCGACACAGTGATAATCGACGAGGCCGATCTGATATTCTCCTTCGGCTACGAGGAAGAAATAAAAAGCATCTTAAAATATTTACCAACTGTCTACCAAGCAGCCCTGGCTTCAGCGACGCTTTCCGAGGAAGTAGTCTCTCTTAAAAAATTAGTTCTTCACAATCCGGCGATTCTCAAACTGGAGGAGCCTCCACTGGCGCCACCTTCGCAACTTGCGCACTACACGCTTGCCGCGGAAGAGAATGACAAAGCAGCCATTTTGTACTCGCTATTGAAGCTGCGTTTAATTCGCGGTAAAAGTATCATTTTTGTTAACACAGTCGACCGTTGCTACAAATTAAAATTATTTTTAGAACAATTCGGTATCCCGACATGTGTTTTGAACTCGGAATTACCCGCGACGTCGCGTTGTCGTGCAGTAATGCAATTCAACGCCGGGACCTACGACATTATAATCGCTTCTGATGAGAAAGCTCTCGAGGAGCCTCATGTGGTAAAAAGTAAAAATAACAGCAAGCAGCAGAAGAGCAAAAGACGCAAAGACAAAGAATCTGGAGTGGCTCGTGGTATAGATTTCCAGTTTGTCGCCAATGTCATTAACTTTGACTTTCCCCAGGACGTAAATTCGTACGTACATCGCGCCGGAAGAACTGCTCGAGGAAAAAACCAGGGAACTGCGCTGAGCTTCGTGGCGATCAGAGAAAGAGAACTGATGCAAGAGGTAGAAAATCAACTTAAAGACACTTACGGCAGGGAAAGCTTGTTCAAGACTTACCAGTTCAAGCTCGAGGAGGTTGAAGGCTTCAGGTACCGGGCTAGAGATGCCTGGAAAGCGGTCACCCGGATCGCGGTCAGAGAAGCCAGACTTAAAGAAATAAAGCAGGAGGTTTTGAGCTGCGATAAGCTCAAGAGCTTCTTTGAGGACAATCCTAGGGATTTGCAGACCCTCAGGCAGGATAAAGCGCTTCATACGGTTAAATTGCAAGCGCATTTGAAGGACGTGCCGGAGTACATCATCCCCAAGTCTCTGAAGAGGCTTATCGGCGGTGGAAAGAGGAAGAGGAAGTTTGACAGGAATGTTGCCAGTGATTCTGCGACTCCTGCTAAGTCTAAGTACCAAGCTAGGGCGTCAAATCCTTTGATTAGTTTAAGTATTCCTAAAAAAAAATAAATTGTAGGTTTTTATTTAATGATTTTTTTTTTTTTTTACTTTTAATTTGTAAAATTCAATTATTTTTTATGGTACTGTAAAAATAAATTTTGATGATGAGTTAATTGTTCGATTTGTTATGAGTTCTTGGTGAGCTTTTTAGGCTTGAACTTCTGGCGGATCAAGTCGTTAAGGCCCTCGCGGTTGCGCGCGAGCTCGATGGCATAGAACTGGATCCGCGATACAAGGATGCTGTTTTGTTCACTGTACTCGTCGGTGCAGTCAGCTCGGAGGAGGGTACCCATGCTGTAGTCCTCGATTATGTCTTTAAACTGCTCGCAGAACGGTCGCCATTTGTTTTTTCCCTCAGGCGATTTCATTTCATCCTCGCTTAGTTTTGCGATCGACAGGCTGGGGAAAACTTCGCGGAAGGACTTATAGATCAGGTCGTCGTGCGGCGTCAACTTCAGGAGCTTTGGGTCCACGGAGCACAGGATCTGGAATTAAATAATTTATTGTTAGTTGAGGACAATAGTGTGGAAAAAAAAAAAATTAACTAATATTTTGAGATGGATTTTATGCTTGAACTTTTTTTCTGTATCATTTATCAGTTTAATTTAATTTTATTTAAGTAATATCAGTCCTAAATATTTTTTGATATTGTAAAAAACAGACAAAGTAGATATCTTTTATTTTGACGTGTTTTATAGATTGATTTAAAATATAAAATTTCAATTCTGTAATTTTTATAAATTTTTTTTCTGCTAGTAATTACAACATAAATAAAAAAATTATTTATATAATTATTTTTTTAGTAATAATTTATTTGTTGTAAAAATCTAAAAAATGACATATCTGTTAAATTAAAAATTAATTTGAAGTTTAAATGTCACATGAATTTCAAAATTTTTTACAAAAATATACAAATAATTAAAAAAAAATCTGAAATCCGCAAATATTTAACAATTTTAGATTGTTTATTAATTGAATTAGAATTAAAAAAAAAAATTGCATTTAAATCATCAGCTGTTGGCTAATTTAATAATCATTAAAATTCTTGAATCCTGTTACTTTCAGTTTTATACTTTCATTCTCATCAACTTTCTCGCCATAAAACTTCCACTAATTTAACATCTCGAAATCCGAAAAAAAAAAAACTCCTTTGAATTGACTCTTCTGAGCAATAAAAAAAACCAGTCAGCTTAAAAATTAAATCTGCGCGCGCATTTCTGTACAATAAATAAACTTGTCATTAAAAACCATAATTTAAAAAATAACATATAAAAAATAAATGTTATTAACAAACAGCAGTAACAGCTCAATAAATAATTTAAAATATTAGTATCATAAAAGTCCGTCAAACTGAAGTGAAATGTTGTATTAGTTAACCTAAAAAATATACTAGTCACTAATCACTGTACATAGCACAATAATAACACTGCAATATAAATAATAAATATTTATCTTTTTTCACACTAATATAAAATTGAAAAAAATCAATCAATTAATTACAATAGTTAAGTATATATAAAAAACAATTAACAATATATTAGTAGTATTAAAAATGATTAAAAATATTCTAGTTAACTTTATTGACGTAGACTTCACGTTATGGCTATCATGGGTGCTGATGCCGCTGCTGATAACATTTTTACTGCCAATAATTATTTTACTGCTGTTGTACATGACAGCGGCTATTTTTTACATCTACAAGCTGCACCGCGGAAGACTGCAGGAGGCGTACGGGCGAGACTGGAAATCCGCGGCGCGCAGTGTCGTCGCAGCAATATGGGACGTCCATGGGTACATCTACTACGGGTACGAAGTAGTCGGGATGGAAAATATTCCAACAGACGAGCCAGTGCTGTTCGTTTATTATCACGGAGCGGTTCCAATCGACCTGTACTACCTCATAGCCAAAATGGTCCTGCTGAGGTCCAAAATAATCCACACGGTAGCTGACAATTTTCTCTTCAAAGTTCCAGGCTTCGCTATAATCTGCGACGTGATGAAGCTGATACCAGGAACAGTCCAGACCTGCTCACAGATCCTCCAGGAGGGGAACATGCTGGCGATCGCACCAGGCGGCGTCTATGAGGCCCAGTTTGGAGACTCTTATTACAAGCTGATGTGGAAGAACCGGATGGGCTTCGCAAAAGTTGCCGTTGAGTCTAAAGTTAAAGTCATTCCTTTCTTCACGAGGAATCTCAGAGAGGCCTTCCGGACTGTCAGCTGGGGCAGGAGACTCTGGCTGAGGATTTACTCGCTCACCAGATTCCCTTTCGCTCCGATCTACGGCGGGTTCCCCGTTAAACTTGTCACGTATATCGGAAAGCCGATTGACTATCAAGAAGGCTTGAGCCCGGATCAAATCAAGCTCAAGGTCGCCGAGGCTTTGGAACAGTTGATCAACCAGCATCAGAGTGTTCCTGGGAGTATCACAAGAGCGCTGCTGGAGCGCGTTTATAATCCGACGAGACATAAAAAGGATTAAATATATTCTGGCTGTGGTTATTTATGTTGGACTTTTGTTATTTAGAGGGGAAGGTGTCCAGGTTAGGGGTTCAATTTAGATTGGAAGTTTTATTTAATGGGGTTAAGGTGGAAGAATTAGGGTGGAGTGAAATTGATAACTAGACGTTAGCTGTCATCCAGAATTTTTTATTTGTGGTAAAAAATAATGGATTTAATTTAATAGAATTTTTTTTTAAATTTAATTTTTTTTAATGGGAAAATATTGAAAAATCGATCAATTTTTTTCAAGTTTTTTGATAATGTTGATAAATTTAATGAATTAAAACGCTCTATTATTTTTAAAAAAAATTATAATTTTTTTTTTTTTTTTTTTTAATTTCAGGGCATTTGAATTAATTTTTAATAACTAAGTATTTTATAAAAAAAATAGCTAGTCAAGATTAACTTCTGGCTCATTTTTTGATTGATTTTTATAAGAATAATAAATGGAAGAGTGATAAAAGGATTAAAATTTTGCTTCACCATTGTGATAAAAATTCAGAAATTTTTCAATTTTTAAACAAATTGTTATAATAAATTATTAGCTGAAGAAAATCTAAAAATTTGTCTGCCAGTTGGAAACTAATTTAAGTATCATTATAAAACATTATTAATTTAAAAACTTTAGTTGTTTTTTACTGTAATATATAAATTAGTTTAATGAAATGTTTCTTTCTAAATTTTGAATGATCTGATAAAAAAAATTTTTATACTTAGTTTTGAAGTATTTTATTTAAATTAAAAATACTTTTAAAATTCGTAGTAATTAAATTTCTAAACAATAAGTCTGGTGTAGGCGAGCTGGAGCGCAATAAGTATTAAAACGCAACCTAGATCTTAATTTTAATATTAAAAAAAAATCTTAATGTTTATTTTTGTTACATCCGTTATTTGCACTAGGACAGTAAACGATAATAAAAGAAAATTTTAAAAAAGTTTTAAAAAAAGCTGAAAAAAGACAAATGGTTAAATTTAGATCTAAGCAGTTAATTATAACTCCACCCTTTGCATCGAGCTCTCTAGTTACTTGTAATTAAAAAGAAAATGAATCCAAGTGTCGTTTAATTAACGCACACATAGTGTAAAAAACTAAATTATTTTATAGTAATTACTAATATTAATTTAAACTAAGTAAAGTAAAATATTGTCCAATAATGTATATTGATGTAATTATTTGTTTTTTTTTTTTTTTTTTTTAATAAACTTTATGTACTTACATTGAAATAAATTTCAGCATGTTCGAATGCTTTCATTGCCCACATTGCCTCAACGGTGGCCTAAAATTAATCACACATAATTAATGACTTTTTATCAACATTGAAGGTGAAGATTGATCATAAATAGTTAAATATTAATTTAACTTACATCATTTTCAAATTCTTCAGCTGGTCTTGACAAAACACTTGATCCCGCCATCAATTGATCTGCCGACTGAAAAATAATTATTCAATAATTATGAATATTTTTTTTATTATTAATTACGGAGTACGTATACATATAAAATAATTGTAATTGTCTCATACCAGAAATTCACAGATTATTAATAAAAATTAAAATTTTTATAAAATTATCTTACCACACTTCCAATTTGAGCCATCGTTTAAATTGCTCTCAATTATTATTTTTAATAAACAATCAAAATATTATTTATAAATATAAACACGTGGTTTGTGTAAATACAGAGCAAGTAAATACGGTACATAACCTAAATATATATTTAGAGAGAAATCTCAATTCTCAATTTTTTTACAAACAAATAAAAAAGATGGCGCAGTGAAAACTTTAGAGAATGATGAAATATTTATAATTTTTGTTATAAATAAAATAAAAAACATTAATAAGAGTATTATAAATTTTTGTACTATACGTAATATTTTTGTAAAGTTAAATAATTAATATAGTTTAATTATTCGTCTAAAAATACAGAAATATAAATAAAAAAATAATTTTTTTAACTTGTTTTGAAAGATGGTGAAAGAAAAGGAAAATATCCACGAAAGTGCTTTATTATTAATTAAAAATATTAAATATGAGTGAGTATTAGAAAAAAATTATTATCTTGCAATTATTCGAATTTAAGTTTGATAATAATTATTTTTAATTTCGTTAATTAATAAAAAAAAAAAATAAGTTTTGTTTTTCAATTAAATTAGGTTACAATTTTAAGCAATATGGTTTTATTATTTTATTAAGTAGATAAAATAAAAATATGAAAGTTTAAATAATTTCAAATAATTATAGCCAAAGAAATTGAACCATTTCCAAACTACTTTTGTAGAATTATATTTTTTTTAAGTAACATAAAGTTAGGTTATACATTAGACTAAATAATAATAAAAATTTTAATTATATATCTTAAAAATAATAACTAAAGAAAAAGCACCTGAAACTTTTAAAAAATAACAATTATTTAAACTTTCATAATTTGACAAAATTTTTCAACTTTAAAACTAATTAAAAATTTTTTTATTAAAATTTTTATTTATTTCAAGAAATTATTAATTTTTTTTTTTTACAGAAAACTTACGGGTACATACAACATTGTAGTTGAAACTATAAAAACACTGAAAGAAATAATAAGTAATAAAGAATGGAGGACAGCGAAGGAGTTGATGGACTTGATCGTGTTGAACGGCAAGTACATAATCAACGCAGTGCCGCTGGAAGCATCTATAGGAAACATGATCCGGAGAATTCTCCAAATAATCCGCGAGGAGTACACTTCTGAAATAAAAAATAAACCCGAGGAATCTGACGGCCAGGAGTCGCTCCATAAAATTTTGACATCCGGAGACCGGGATATTGATTTTAACACTCCGGTTCCTACTCTCAAGTCCGCGTTGATTGAGCATATCAATGAGTTTGAAGTCGAACTAGAGACTTGGTAATTTATTATCATGATAAGTTGACAGTAAAAAAATGTTTTTTTAATTAATTATTTTTTATTTCAGCTGTGAGAATATAACAGAACAAGCATCGGAACACATTCATTCAAATGAAATAATAATGACCTTGGGTAAATCCAAAATAGTGGAAGAATTTTTTAAAAAAGCTGCTGAAACGCGTGTATTTGAAGTTATTGTGGCTGAAGGCGGTCCATTTTTAGGAGTAACTATCACCTATCTATAAATAAATAAATTGATTGATTAATTAATAATTTTTATTTTGTTTAGGGCCACGAAATGGCAGCAAATTTATCAAAGCACAAGATAAAAACAACATTGATCTCTGACGTCTCAATCTTTGCAATGATGTCGCGTGTAAACAAAGTTATCATTGGCACAAACACAGTAATGGCTAATGGTGGATTAAAGGCAATTACCGGATCACGTACAGTAGCTCAAGCAGCTAAACATTACTCAGTACCGGTAATGGTATTGTTACCGCTTTATAAATTATCCCCACGTTATCTCTGTTCTTACGAGCAAGACGGTTTTAATAAACACATCGCACCTATTCAAGGTGTAATTAACGGCAATAATGCACCGCTGTTGGAAATAATTCAAGCACATAATCCTGTTTATGATTATGTACCTCCAGAACTTGTTAATTTATTTATTACAAATACGTAAGTCATTTTTTAAAAATCACGATCATCAATTATTTTTATTTTTTTTAATAAATAAATAAATAAATAAATTATTTCTTTTAGGGGCGGCAATGCACCATCGTATGTCTATCGTTTATTAACAGAACTCTATCATCCAGATGACTACGAATTATAATTGACTAATGAATTTTATTCGAACTATTTATAAGAAATTTAATAAATTTTTTTTATTGAATTAAAAAAATTATTTTATTTTATTTACAATTTATAGTTTTATCTTCATTAATTTATAAATACTTGGTGAATTATTTAGATTTATACATAAGGATTCCAGTTGCTGCCGTCCTCGGGTAGCAACGAGTTGGTGACGAGTAAAATTATATCTATGACCCACCAGACACCGAGACCTCCAAGGGTCAGCAGTTTTCCCACTGCGGTCCCAGTTTGCCCGAGACAAAATCGGTCCATGCCTAAGAATCCCAAGAGGATGCTGTAAAGCAGGGTCAGGGTGAAATAATGACCACTGTATTTTACACAGGGTACTCCGTCACGTAGGAATTTCCTTGGACCATAACACTCAATGTCGGGCAGAACTGTACATGAGACATTTGTTTTTTCAACTTCTTCGTAACGGGTTCCTCCGAACTGAAATTTTTGATTTTTAAAATTTTAAATCTAATGAAAATCTAATAAATAAAATTATCAATCATCTTAATTGAAAATGGATTAAATTTACTTAATAATTTGTTATTAAAAATTTTATATACTAATAAAATAAAAATGTATTATTTTTTTTTAAATGCATAAATTATTTTCATGAAAATTAAGTTAGCCGACATCTAAAAATTTTTAGAATTTTTTTTTATCGAAAAAATCATTACAGAAAAATAAAAAAAAAATTTCATTTGTAAAAAAACTTGAAAAACTAGGTATAAGTGTAATTTTTTTTAAATATTTTTTAGTTATAATTTAATAAATGAAAAATAATCAAAAAATTAAAAACGTCTGCTAACTTTAATGACATATTATTTTCATAAGAACTGTCAAATGTCTATTATTGTTACTATCACAATAATATATTATTTAAAAGAAAAAAAAAAATATGATTCTTACCTTGACACAACCAAAACCAGCCTCTAGTTTAGCTGTTTTATTTCCTTTATGATCAAAAGGCTCTTCACATTCAATAAATTCAATAGGCCTACAAATATAATTATTTTAATCAATGTTAATTCTTTATAAAATTAATAATTAATAAAAATAAAAATATAACTTACAAGAAATGACATTTAACCAAAGGACCTTTTGGATAGTATTCTAACTGATCATAACTTTTGTTACCTTCAACGTTTATTATACTTAAAAAAATAAATAAAAACAATTTAAAAATTGAATTATTAAAAATAAACTTCATTGCTTATAACATGTCAAATATTTATTTATTTTCTTTTCGTATATAACAATAAAGTTCTGACACAAAACCAAACATTGGGATTCACTGATACTGATCGTGCTGACATCTGGAAATTTTAGTTTCCAACCTAAAAACTTTTATTATTGTTTACGTTTACTCACGTTTACTGAGAATCGTCTCAGGTTTGTTAATTTATTTTAATGATAAGTAAATTTTAATAAATAAAATGGGTAGAAGTCGGACACCATCCCCGAGAAGAAGAGATCGTTCGAGAGACCGTTCACGTGAACGTGACAGAGACAGACGGAGAAGACGTTCTAGAGAACGTCGTCGCAGGTAAGATTTTTATTAAATTTTTTCGTGCTTTTAAACTTTATTATCAATAAAGTATTTTTTTTTTTTTTTTTTTTTTAATTTAATTATTTGATTAATAACAGGTCCGTTGAAAGAGATAGAGTTAAATCAAGAGATCGTGATCGTGAACGTGAAAGACACAGAAGATCTTACAGTAGGTCCAGGTCTCGTGATCGTGACCGTCCTAAGCCCAAGCATAAGACTGTAGCTGCTGAACGGCCAAATATATCTGGTAAGTAATTGAAATTATTATGACACTAAAAATGAGAGACATCTAATAATTTTTAAAATTTTTTTTAACAAATCAATTATAGCAAGTAAAATTTATTAATAAAATTATATACATATACTTAGAAAATCTAAAAAATTATAAATCCGATTTTTTTAAAATATTTTTCTATACCTAGTTCATTTTTTAAGAAAAATCTAAAAATTTTCAGTGTCATAAAATTTTTATTTTTTATAAGAATTGAAGTAAAAAAAATTTTTTACTTCACATAATTAAAAAAATAAAAATATGTATAAGCTTGCTAATTTTACTGAAACTTTTTAAAAATTACAGAGGCTGACTTACAAGGAAAAACTCCAGAAGAGCAAGATATGATGAAAATAATGGGTTTCTGCGGCTTCGACTCGACGAAAGGCAAAAAAGTCGAAGGTAACGATGCCGGTGCAGTCCACGTAATCTTAAAAAGAAAATACCGTCAATACATGAACCGCAAAGGAGGATTCAACAGACCACTTGATTTCGTTGCTTAAAAATTCATCTTTTAATTTCAATCTTCAACATCATCATAGTTAATAAATTCAATACAGTAACAGTACAAAAATATTGTGAAAAATCAGAACATGAACACTTACAAAAAATCATTAAATTAAATATTTTTATCAATACTATCATAATTTATTAAAACGTGTCTACGAAGATTCACGTCTCGGTCGCTTAGCTGGTTGATCGTAATCCGTAACTTCGCTGTCCTCGTTATCGGTGGGGTCTGACGAGTCATCGAGAGGTAAATGCCTCTGTGACGCCTGATCACGTTGTGTATTTTGCGTCATCATCTAGAAAATTATTATTCCATTGTAAATTTATAATATTTTATAATCATCAATAAATAAGTAATAATAATAATAATAATTAAGAATTAAATACATACTTGAGTAATGTCTAATCTTTCAAGTCCTTCGACAAGTTCTGGTTGTTTTATTCTGAAGTCTCTGGTAATACTTAGTTTAATGTGCGACTCCAAGTGTATCTAAAATTTAAAAAAAAAAAAAATTAATTTATTTTTTAATAAATATACACGAAAAGAATAAGATGACACTGGATATCATCCTAGATTATGCTCAGTGATATCTCTGATGAAAAAAAATTTCAGATTGTACTAGCTATCTAAAATTTTTTTTCACTCAGTATAATCTGGTATAATATCCAGTGTCATCTTGTTCTTTCCCTGTAATTAAGAATAATTAATTTTTTTTTACTGATTTATTTAACATCAATTTCAAAATTTTATTATTTAAAAACTAAAAAAAAATTAATAAATTATAAAAATTTACCCCAGTCTTTTTACTAAGCGCCAAAATTTCTTTCTGAAACTGTTCAACTTCATAAACAACTTTAGGAATAAATTTAGTCTCCTTTAGAACTTTATTTCTGAGCGCTTGTCCATCAGCTTTACGACCAGCGTTCTGATTCTCTTCCATGTAAGTTATCAAATTATAAAAAGTTGTTTTCAGCCCTTTACCCGCTAGTTCGACAATCTGGCTGAACCTGACAGCTTGAAATGCAGGATTTTGACTCGTAGATTTGCTGATGAAATACTTGGTCAGTGCATTTATAATACTGTAGAGCTGGTGGAGATTTTTGAAGGTCATGTCGGTGTTGGGTCCTGGACTGATTGCAACATTCGCGATGTACTCCAGCGCTCCTATCGTGTAGGACAGTTGCTTACAAAGACAACGTTCCTTATTTTTTATTTTATCGCGGTGAGAATCATCGACGACGGCACTCGTGTTGATAATCGTCTGCTCGGCTTTCAGTCTTCCCAGAGCCCAAGATGCGTTATTTAATTTATTTTTTATCGCGTTACTGAATACAGTGTGTGTTTGGCTGATTGTGTTTTCGTTAATTATTGTGTAAACTTCGGGTGCATTTGGCGGAGCGTTGTCAACAGTGCCTTGTTTTTTGCACAACTCTAGACTCATTTCATCTAATGTTTTACCGTAGTCCATGTCGCGTTCTTCGATCATGGTCATTAATTGCAGTATTATTACAGATATTGCGGGATCTAGCGTTTTGTTTGACTTGGACATCTGTTTTAACCAATCGAATATCTGTCGGCAAATTTTTGTATCATTACCTACTTAAGATTCTTTTTTACTAAAAAAAATTTATTGAGATACTGAATTTGAAAATTATTGATCATAATCTTAAAAATAAAAAAAAATTACCTTATCCAACTTAGTGTTGTTAAAATATATTTTATTAAGCAGCACCGAAATAATCTCAAACAAAGTCAGCGGAATTTTTTTCGTCGCTTCTTGTTCTTCCAATTCCTCATCAAAGTGGGTCTGTATTAAAATTTGCAGCGTTGAAATTATCTTACTGACTTTCGCAATCAAATTTCCTTCTTCATCACCTGAAAGTCATTAATCAATCAATCAATCAATCAATCAATCAATCATTTATCTAATTTAATAATTAACTAAGGTAAAAGGCACTTTTTCTTTCAATGAAAAAATGTTTTACTTGAAATAAAAATTAAAAAATTTTTTTAATCTTAAGGTCTTAAAGATAAGAAATAATATATATTCATTATTAAAATTAATGATTTCATTAATTGAATAAGTACCAAAATCAAAGAAAGTGTCAGTAAAATGGGGTCGTCTCCTCTCATAAAAAAAAAAAAAAAAAAAAAAAAAAAATACCGTTCTTAAATGTTACATATATAGGTTGCCTGATGAAGTCAGAATTATGCTGACGAAACGTTGCTAATTGGAATAAATGAAAGAAAGCATAAATTTATTTGGTCTATTACATCCTGATTTGGTTTTTTGAAATTTTGTAAAACTTAGATCTGAGAAAATGAGTAAAAAAAAATACCTACATAATTTAGTCAAGAAAGCCTCCAGCTCGCTGTTAAAAGTAGTAGCCATCAAATCACAGAGCTCTTTGAAGCACTCTAGCCCCAAAATAGCCGTTTCTTCTCCAATCTCTCTGACAGTATCAAAGTCGCAAACAATCTTCTTATAAACAATCTCCCCCACGTCAAAGTAATCCTTAATAAACTTCTCTTCATGTTTCTTGAGCTCGTAAACCGGGAGAGCTTTGGTAGCATGAAATATCTGGACTGAAGTTCTGAGCGTGTAATTATGGAACTCGACTCGTTTCTTCAGCACATTCGCTTGCTCCCTTGTCGCCCAAACAATATTTTCATCATACAGCAAACAAATCATCTTTCTGATCGTCTGAATGTCCATTATCGTAGGAAACAACTTAATACCGGCCTGTCGTCCCCTCGGTTTCTTAAAAGTAGTATCATTAGGATTCTTGTCCTTTTTACCCTTACCCTCAGCCTTTTTAGGCTTCGCAACCTTCTTGCTAAAGTTCACCATCTCCGTCATAGATTTAAACAAACTCGTAACATTCTGCGCGACATGTTGCCCTTGAGGGGACCAGGAATTAATCCTAAAAGCAATCAGCGACTCAAGAACAAGAATAGTCAACTTTAGCGAGAATACTTTCTGCTGTGCCTTAGGAATATTGTCCAGAAGATCAGTGTTGTCATCCAAGCCCAGTTCTTCCAGTTCAGTATTTGGCATTCTGCGACACAACGACTCCAAAATCATGCTGAGCTTGTCGATAGCAGCCAGCTCCTTCATAGCGACTTCGCAGTAAATTTTCTGCAACGCGTACAGCAAATCACCAATTGGTTCAACCAAAACCGCTTCTGGACCATTTACGTTGCAGCAGAGGTCAAACTTAATCGCTGGTTTCACAGCTTCGTCTGACTCGTAGTACTCCATGAAATGAGTCATCAGCATGTCGATGACATTTTCAGCCAGCTCAGGATTCTGCGATACAACTGTGCAGAGTCCCTTGTACAAGTGCTGACGGACTTCCACTTGATGACAGAGACACCTGGTCAAGATGCTCAAAATTTCATGGCAAAACGCAGCATTGTGTCTCACATTAGGTCGCTGACTCGGTCTCTCAATAGTTGCCTGCGTGTAAATAGAACTAGAGCTGCTAGAATTGGCCGTGCTGGATGAACTCTGACTGAGACTGAACGGTGTGATCTTGAGGTTGATTAGGAACTGCAGGAACCCGGTGATCGCCATCTGCCTGGTCTGAACTCCTTTGCGATAAAGTGCTTTGCGTAAAATAAGAACAAGTGTGTCGCGAATGCTCGTGGAGGTTCGGATCAAAGGAAGAGTCGCCAGCAGAACTTGAGTCGCTGATTCTCCGGGAATTAAAAGAAGCTGCTCCAGGAGCGTCGTGATCCAAACCTGGGACTCCAGAACGATTAAAGTCGTTCTGCGACACATGTACGAAAGGCACTCGGTGAATTGTGTGACGACATTACCGCCAGCGATTATTTTTTTAGTGAGAATTTGAAGGACAGTGGTCCCGATTTCGTGGCGTTTTTTCAGCAATTTCTGTAAGATTTTGTTCCCGATGTCATGGAGAGAGTATTCCTCGGGGTCCTGGACCTTGGACTTTGTTTCTAAAAGGACGAAGGCGAGGTCTACTAGCCCTTTAAGCACTAAATGCCGGTCTTTAGTGCTGTTGTCGATTATTTGGTTGATAACGTCCATAGGCTGGAGATCCGAAGGCAGGATTTCGCGGAGCCAGTGGACAGATTTACGCTTCTCGTCGTCCTGGAGCTTGCGAGTAAGGGCGAGTTTTATTACGTCGAATATCTGGTCCTCGTAGATGTCGGTGACGAGGAGGAGGACTGACATGGGAAAGGGGTCGAGGATGAACTCAGGTGCGTTTGTTACGTTCTTTAAGTTACGTAGGAAGTCCTTCAGGCTGGAATGGTTCAGAGAGACAGACTGGCGGATGTGGTAGAGAACAGTACTTTCGGTGTCTTGAACTTCTTTTTTGCTCACTTGTCCGATACTTTCGCAGTCGAAAGCGTTGGGACTGTCCTCGAGGGCCTGAGAGTATAGAAATGAAAAGTACTGTTGCAGGGTGTTTATTACTAGCTTACAGTCCTGGTTTCTGCTGAGCTTCAGGAGCTGGTGGATCAGAGGTGGAAGTTCGTTGTGGTTTAGCTGCGGGACTTGGTCACAAATCGCACGAATCACTAACGTGTGGTCCACTGGCTCCATCTGGATCTCGCTGAACATTTTTGTCAGCGGTGTGAGAATCGTTGGCTCCCAGTCCTGGTTGCAGATTGATTTTACTATCAGAGATTTGTACTGGGTTCCTGATACTTCAGAACCTGTCATTTTTAAATTATGTTAATGATGCGATTAATATAGACGTGATATTTGACAACTCAAGATAGTCAAGTGCTAGAAGTTCATAAAAAAAATAAACAACAATTTTTTTTTTTTTTATGATAACTACCTTACTAAGTAGAGTCTAGTTAGAAATATTAAATAATTGTTAATAAATTAACCTTTGTAGTTGATGTATTTTTCTTCTTCCAAAACCTGCAGCAATATCGGCAGTATATCTTTCCAAGAATAAAAGTCATCATCATTGTTCCGGATACTGCTTAGACAGTATTCAACTAATTTTATAAGCTGCAATTTACTGAACTTGGGAAAGTCCTGGATAATCCGATTAACCAGCGAGTTTGCGTGTGATCCAGTTATTTGCGACTTTCTGATCGTCTTGAGAACAGATTCTACAAATTTACGACGCGTTGTTTGTCCACCTTCTGACGCTGGTGGTATGTAGTTCAGGATTTCGTCCAATATTTTCGGCGACTCATCGTGACTGATCCTTGGTATAATCAAGTCACCAAGCTACACATAATTATCGAATTACTTTGCGAAATTCTAAATTAATTAAATCTTAATTTTAATAAATTCAACAGACATTCATTTTTTTGCAATTAAAGAAATTACTAAAAAAAATTATGAAAATTAACTTAGCAGATAGTTGATAATTTTAAAGAATTTTTCCAATAAATAAATTATGACCAAAAAAAATTGACATTTAGAAATTGTAAAAAACTAAAAATGCAATTTTTTAAAATAATTTTTTTGTTAAATAAAATTAAAAAATAATCAATATGTCATAAAAAAATTCCATAAGTAGAAATTGGAAAAAAAAACTATAAATGAAATTAAAAAAAAAAATTTTTCCTAGTTCTAATTTATTTTTTAAATAAAATTAAAAATTAAAAAAAAATTTTGGACGTCTATTTTCAATATAAACAATCTAGACATCCTGACAAAAAAATAACCTTAAAAAATTACCTCAGAAGCATTTAATTTTTCAATCAATCCTTTGAGCCCTTCTACATCTTTGTTATTTATCATCTCACGGTACTGAGAAAACATTTTTATTTTGTTGTTTTTTATTTAAATATAGTAATTCTTACACGTTCAATACTCTAGCTTTCATTGTCAAACATAACACGCTTGAACTTGTTTTCATATTTGTATATCTATATATTCGTTCACGGTCATATAATTTTGTTTACGCTTTTCCCGCGTTCCTTAGTTTCTTATATTTACGCATAAAGCATACGCACGCGCAAGTTTCAATGAAAGATAAAAGCGATGGGATAACTAAACTGCCGACCTTCGATGATGTATCTTCACTTGGATCTCGCTTGTGTTTTATTCTATAGTTGAATTTGAACATTGTTAAAGTTTGTAGTATTTTTATTATCTTTTTCATATTTTATAATTAATAATTTTAATATTAATTTAATTTATGATAGTGTATTAAATAATTATAGTATGACGGCTAGAAAGCTTGAGTAAATTTACAATTAATTATTTGGCTTTATATTCTCAATTCTGAAGGAATATTTATCAAAGTTTGCTATTTTAAGAATAATTACAATTTAAATGAAAATAAACTTTCAATTTTATATTGTTAATTATTTTTGCAATAAAAATAAAATTCGCCTGTGAGTTTCTGAAATTCTTCCCGGGCAACAGCGTGGCTTTTAAAAAAAATAAATTATAGTTTTTGACGATTTAAAATTAAGTCAGTTAAAAATTATTAATGATAATTTTTTATAAAAAAAAAAGTTTTATTAAACAAAGCCAGAAATGTTTTTTCGAAAAAAAATGAGCGAAAAAAAATAAATTGACAAATTAAAATATAATTTCAAGTTACTCCCAAGCTTTGATCATTATTCACAGATGAAGACCTTGATATCAGGAGATCAAACAGACTTGCGGCAAAATAACAATAATATGTTCAAAATGCCAAATTTTTCTACCATCGTTTATGAGCATTCGTTTTTGGTATTCGTCAGCTATTCGTCTGTGGCAGGAATTACCAATAATAGAAATCACAAATTCATCGTCACTTCAAATTTTCAAAAATAAAGCATATGAATTTTTTATGAGTAAAGAAGCAAGCTCTTGACAATTTATTATTATGTTTGCAACTTCTTAGTATTTGAATATTACATAATATTGTTTAGATTATGTATACCTTTAGTATATTACGATATTTCTCTTTCTGTTCACTTAATGTTTTAAATATACATATTATAATACTTACATGATTAAATAAAACTGTTACATTTTTATACTTGCCATTAGGCTTATTGCCTTGGCATATAAATTAAATAAATAAAAAAAAAAAATAAATTATCAATTATTTGCTTTATTTTTGTTAAGTATTATATGTGATATAATTATATTCAACTCTTAAATCGTGACTGAAATATCCAGAAGCTTTTGAGGTTTGAGGGTAAAATGAAGGTAAATTATCAAATACATGGTAAATATATCCGAACTTAACATTATTAATCTATTTATTGACTAATTAAAAACCCACAGACACACAGTAATGTTTATTTTCACAATTCATAATAATAAATTATTTGATATTAACAACCATACAAAGTTATCCAGCGGAAGAATTTATATAAAGCGTTGTTCGTTGATCACGTTGATTTCCATGTGATTTTAATTCAAATCTAAACAAAGGGTATTTTTGTTCTTTGAGGCCAACTGGTGCTTCAATGATTATAAGATGTGATTTAACTTGCTCTGTTCTGTTATTTATTGTTACTGTTATTATGTCATAAGTTGGTGAGTTATTGATTGTAAGAGCTTAGATGAAAGAAGAAGTTGTTATAATAATTTTATTTATTATTCAGTTCAACAATTCAATTTACAAATCAAAAATAGTCCTTTTTTTAGATTAATTTAATATATTTAATAATAAGAAAATTAGTGTTAAAAATAAAAAGAATTTTTGATACTTTCATAAAATTCTTAGGTAGATTTTTAAATAAATTTTTTCATAATAATTCATCAATGAAAGTAAACATTTAATTACACAAACTCTTTTTTCAGGCGAACCAATGAAACGATATAATAAGCTTACCAGCGGCGTCACTTCCGGCGGATATTAAAGCAACAGAAGCGATGCTTGAACTCTTCTTTAGAAAGATGTCAAGATAAATAAGTCTTGAAATCAATATTATACCTCAATAACTTACTCAAAAGTTGTGAAGTTAAATAATTGATAATTCATGTAAGTTTATAACTTTGTTCATTTCTGTCTTTATTTTTTAGTAGATTTTATAAAAATCTAACTATTGTATTTGTCCTCATGACGTAAATTTCCATAAATTTTGCTATATTTCGACCTAACTCGACGAACTGAGTCAGAAAATACATATATATATATATATATATAACGCGGCTTGTCACGGCGATAGCGTCAACAATTCTTAAGGGATCTCAATGAAACTCAACATACTTATTCTATCGACTACTAGGAAAGTCAAGTTCGAATATGAGCTTAATCAGTCAAATAGTTTAGAAATTACAGCATTTAAAAATTTGGAAATTTTGAAAATTTGATACTTTCACTACTTCTCCCTCAAATAACTTTTGAACGCTTTGAGTTATTCGATTCCTGTAAATTGCATCTAAAAGCTGAGACATTAAACTTCAATTTATGTGCTCACATTTTTTTCTAAAGCAAAAAAAATTCATCTTAGGATCATTTTTAAGAAATTTTACTCTTGCAGTCGTTTTGTCTATACAAAACTGACTGAAAAGTACTGAAATACAATAATTCTTCTCTTTCTTTATTAAACGTTATTTATTTTTTTTTTTTGTATTTAATCCTAGTATTTTTTAATTTTATTCATCATGAAATCTACTTCCATTTCGGCTGCCGAATGGCCTTTTTTTTTTATTTTACAAAAGATTTCAGGTCTAAAAAAACTATTTAAAAGTGTTAAATCTTGTAATTGATAATTTTCTAGTTAGATCTAAAGATCGCGCTGTAAAAAAATAATTGAAAAAGTTGTAATTGTAAAAATGATATAAATTTAATAGCCAGTTGAAGAGAAACGACCGAAAGGGATACAAGTAAATCCACGGGGAGACATTCTACTAGATTGTGGTAACGAGCAGCGTCCGTCGCGAATTGACTATTAAACTAACCTTATTTTTCTTCTTTAGTTATACTTTATAGTCTTCTCATTTATTTTTTTTTATTCTATTTTCTATGATCATGAATAGAATCACCCATTAATTAACTTAGCTAGTAACTTTTTTTACTTTAGAAAAGTTACTGTTTAAATAAAAGTCGGGTAACTAAAAAAATTTTCTTCTTAAACTTTATATTTTATTGTTATTTATTCTGGTAAATTTTTTTATAGTGAGTTTGATGTTTTTAACTGCAAATTAATTTAAAAAATAAAATTTACAGTATTAGATAGTTTTTCTTTTCCAATTTTTTTTAATAAAATAAATTTTTCCAAAAAAAGGCATATAAGTAAAATGATCTAATACAAACAAAAAACAATAAATAAAATAATAAAATAAAAATTTTTTTTTATACCAATGTGTTCATAGAATTCAAATGTCAATACGTCTTTCTTTATTTAGTTTCGCTAGTGTACACTTTCGTTTAATTATTTTTCTTTTAAACAAAAATCGCTTGTCATTTTTGGAATGTTTACCACTTGTGACACACTCAACAGCGTTATAGGGCGTTGATCGCGTAACGATTGAAGGAGCGTAAAGTAACATATTGAGTGTTTCCATTTTTTTTTTCATAAATGAAAAAATAAAAAGAAACACGTGAAAAAATTGTTAAGTTAAATTGATTTCGATGTTGACAAAAAAAAAAAAACTTTAAAATTTCAGTAAAAAAAAAAATATTAATTCTTAGTCGAAAAAATTTTTAATGAAAAAATTATTTTTAACAACAGTAATTTTTGAATTCCTTAATTAATTTATGATTTGTACATTTTTCTGTTTCTGAAGTGTCCACGTGGAGTATCAAAAGTAAATGAATGAAACAACCTATCAGGTGAAAGTAAAAAAAATGGTGGCATTGAAAAAAAAGTCGAGGTGTTTGATTTTAGTATGAATTAAGCGTAAAGTTTCCTGGGGGTGGATTAACTACAGGACTAAATACTTACCCCGTTTTACTATACCCCCGTTATACTCAGCCACTGTCTATTGGTTAGGCGCTTTCGTGACGTAACGTTGCCGGTCCTCTGTGGAGATCGTGGCACGCGGAGCTTCAGTCTGATCCTGCTTGTCGGACTGAGTTCTTCAATAGAAAGTTTGTTTATTAGAAGAAACAGAAGGCCAACACCAAGACCACGAACACGAAGAACAAGAAAATATTTAAAGTCGAACAAAAATAATTTTTTTTGTTTATTTTTTAAATTTTTAAGACGTGTCTGATTTAACGACGACTTTGGCTACTCAAGACTCACACTTTTATTCTTTCTGCGATTTGCTACAATTTATAAGGTAATTTTTTTATTTATTATTTGAGTTTCTATAAATTTTTTATCTGAAATTTTGTGCAAATTATTTTTCGTAGAAAATGTAAA